TCATTATCATCATCATCATTATCATCATCATCATTATCATCACCATCATCATCATCATTATCATCATCATCATCATCATTATCATCATCATCATCACTATCATCATCATCATCATTATCATCATCATTATCATCATCATCATCATTATCATCACCATCATCATCATTATCATCATCGTCATCATCATTGTAAGAGACCACCCCATGAAATTAGGACCAGCCCAATCTCACAAAATAATCTCTCAAGATCTTTGCATTATGAAATCTCAGACACTGATGAAAATGCACCTCTGATCATGAATGAGAAATGAAAACTTGTGACCTGAACAGATTTCTCAAAATAAAGTAATTTATTTTAGATATATGAAAAGGATTAAACACACAAACATTTATTAAAAATATTATATGAATAAATGAACACAAGTTATATTTTCGACAATGATGAATTCCACCTCAGAGTTGTCATAACAGTAAGTTCCAGGTGTTGTAACTTACAGGCACGCTGCTTAACTAAGTTTTAAGTAAAAAGAGGATAAAGATAGTAAAAGTTTATAGCTTTAAGGATAGGAGGAAAAGAAATTAGTGAATTTAGCACTTGTTCTTCATAAGTCAAGACCAGACCAGCACAACAGCATGTCAAGACGAGACACCTCCGGAGCTAAACTTCGGCGTTTTATCTCAGCAAACATTTGTCTACCTTTAGATGTCTTCAGACAGAGTCCACAGGCAGGTAGACGGTTTGTGAGTGACAGCATCGAAGCCCGCAGGATGGATAATGTCTGCTCATGACAGCAGGGGGTTGAGAAGCCTCTCGTCTCCCCCTAACGAGCCCAGTGGCTCCCGGCGCGGTCTCAGTCCAGTTGCTTCTCGCAGTAAAATTAGGTTAGTGACATTCAGACTCCCAGCAGACAGGTGCCCAGATGGACACGCACCCTCAGAGAGAACCAGTCAGCACCATTTACTCCGACGAACAAACACGAACAACCGGTAGTGTCAACGGTGTGAACAGAAAGTTAGTTCTTTGAGAGAAAAAAAAAGAGAAGAAAAACAATCTGTCTTTCTCACACTTGCGCGGCCAGCTGTGGGTTGTTATCTGCAAAAGACCTTGGAAGTCTGGAAAGACAGACTAACTGTCGTACTTAAAATCACTTCACTGAGGTTATACATCACACCACCACTTTGCACAAATGGATTAATATTAAAAATTAATAGTACACAATAATTAATCATGAAACCAATTAAGAAAAATGATAAAACCATGATTAATAAACCAGTACTAAGCAAAAACAGTAAAACACATTTCAACTCTTTTTCCTTCACAGTGTTATACTCTGGAACAAAGAGAGATGCAAAGATTAATTCAATAAAACTTTGAGTAATGATATATTGATTATAACCTCTAATAGAAGATTAAATGAAAAAAACATATAGGACTTATTGTCCTATTCACTTGAAAATAGAAACAAACTTTAAAATGACTTTCTTCTTATAAGTGTAAAAGCAAAATCAAAGAAAAAAAAATAGAAATGTTTATTTCACCAGGGTTACCCCTACATCAGAATGAGCTGAGTGGCAGAGTTCAAATAAATTAATTATATTAATCAAGTTTCAAAAGACATGTATGAAAAAAAATTGTATCTTCAGATTGACTGAAGCAATTATATATTTAATTTTTGGTTTTTCATGTTAACTGAGTACATGTGCTTATAGCCAGACAACTATAAAACAGTAATTCATTACTTAAAATGCTTATTTTAAAAAAATATATTTCAAGTTAAGATCATATTACATCACAAAATAAGCGTCTCAATTGTGAAAAAAAACATTGTGTTATAAAATGTGTAAAATTACATTATAAATGTTAGTAAAAATACTTTGTTAAGTCATTATATTTGTACCAATAAAGATCATAATAACAGCAAACTGCTGTAAGTGTAATCTGCACACTCAAACATTTTTATCAGTTTTACTGTCAAATGCACCAGGCCTTAATGAAATGTGAGGAAATGAAGTAATAAATCACTCTACAGGCACATTTTGAGGCAGGACAGTTCGCAAAGACAAAGAGAAGTTAGACTAATGACTGATGCTGTTCCAACCACGTTTATTTATCGCCCAGAACCAACGAGCAGGAAGGATCCTGCAGTGAGAAAAAACTTCCACTGCCTTTTGTCAGTGCTACAGGCTTCTTCAGGCTTCTTCTTCAGCTTTCAGAAGACCGGGTACATCTTTCAGGAAGCTCCGAACATCATGGATCCTGTAGAGACAAAGAGCAAGTCTGTTAGAAACCCATCATGCTCATGTCCTGATGTACAAAAAACAAACATTAGATTCCTCATGCTGAGACTAATAGAAGTAAAACATGTCTTTAATAGATTTCTGTTTATTTTTTCTGAACAATGAAAAGATGGAATAAAAACAAGTCAAAGTTAAATAGAAATGAAATACTTTTTTGCATTTTTAAAAAGGAGTAGAAAGTACAGCTAATTGAATAAAAATGTAAGGAGAAGTAAAAAAGTAGGCTGAAAATTAATTACTCCACTAAAGTATAAATAAACAAAATATCTACTTAAGTAAAGTAACAAAGGATTTGTACTTAGTTACTTGACACCTCTGATCATATTCATACAGTCTTAGCATGTGACAAAGTTTTACTGATGACTCAGATTTTAATTTTATGTTGACTGCCTCCCCTCCACCCAGCCAGCTCCACCAGATCACCACTCATCAGTCTCTCTGAAATACTGAAGATGAACATGAACACAATGACTGCAGTGTTACCTGTGATAGTTTAATATTGTTTAAGTTACTGCTCTGTGGTCATTTATTGATGCTCATATAAATGACCGCAGTCATTCTAGTTAATAATTCTTAATTTCTTGCTCTGTCCTGAAGTAAAAATTCTAATCTGAACTTGACCCCATGATTAAATGCTAAACTAATAACATAACACAAATATAAATGAACAGTGCTGCATTAGTTAATGTTTTAAAGGTATGATGTTAGTTGGTCAGACATTTTGATTVATCTCTGATTATTCTGGAGGACAGAAAGTGACATCATGTTACCTTTGTGATGTTGTAACAAGCTTCAGCAGGTAAGTCTGGTCTGGTTTAACTGAAAAATATCATATAATTATTCATTTTCACAATAACATTCATCTTTAATGACAATACTATCACCATCTATGCTGTTGTCTCTGAAGAAAAATATATAACTTGATGTAAATTAACCAAGTCAGTCTCACAGAACAAAATATAGTTCAGTCAGCACCACTTAATTTATAAAATTATCAACTTTCAGAATGTAAAATGTACCGAATATTTTAAAAGCTGAACTCAACAGACTGAAATTGTCCCGTTTAAACTCATCATTACTCGTCATGCTAACAACGAGCTAGCTGCAGCTGCAGTTATGCTAACTGCGTAACTAATTAATTAACACGATTAATAAACTAAAACTGACTACAACATATCACTGTGGTACAGAAAAGTCAGATAATGCCGCACAATGGCAAAAATGTTGTTTTTTTGTCAACTTACCGGAGAAAATACCTCAGAGACACCAAGAATGAACTGCGCTCAATGGAGCCTCTCGCTGTGTTTGCAACTATTTGAGGCTCCATGAACCACGTGAGTTCCGCATTCCATTCTTCCTATGGAAGTCAACGGGAGTGTCGCAACTCTCTCTTTATTGGGCTCTGGATCCGCCCACCCTCTGCCAAAAGTAATTGTCGAGCGAGCAGCAGAGGAAGCTGGGGAGGAAGAAAAAAAAAATACTCACGCGAGGGTAATAGTGTGCGCGCGCACGTGGGCAGAGAGATTCTGGGCACGAGAGGAGACTATGGCTGTGTCCAAAATGGCAGGCCGGGTCCTCCAAAGGCCGAATTTGTCGGCCACATACGTCAAGCCCTGCGACGAAGGCCTTCCAAAACCAAAGACTCCTCCGATGCGGCCGGACCGGAAATTTTTTCATGCTAGTAATGGCAGAAGAAGCGAGAGAAAAGAATAAGTTTTAAATAAAAATATGGTGATACAAAAATTAAAAAAATTTTAGCGGCTGTAATTCTAATACTTTTATCATTTGTAT